AGCCATGAGGATGAAGTTGCTATCTCTTTGTGAGTCTGTGAAATATATTCAAGGTCTTTTGAAGGTTTTGGTATAAATGTAGAACATTAATGAGAGCAAGCATTAACATAATGATCTTGACCATTCCTGACAAGTATATGCTTAAAGAAATAAAAAATTCCAATATTTTAGCTTCAGTTGTAATGAGGAAACAACGTTTCATTTAGAAAAAAACAATATAGTATCTCGTCTGAATGAAAAAGGCTGTAAAAACGGAGGACAGCACGTGTTTAAAATGGCCTCAGACCGGTTTCTCAGTGCCAACGAGGGGGGAAGAACTGCTGGTGTCTAACTTTATTTATTTAGCATAGTACCATGCAAATGACTTTGAAAGGTTTAATGAGAAGAAAACAGAGGGAAATGAACAAAGATGAGTTGCCTCAAGGAAATCATTACCACGCATCATTACCCTTGACTACACTCTGCAGTGAAAACTGGATTCCGTAAGATGTTTACCATTAAGATAGAAAGGCCTTCAAAAGGAGCATTTAATTTAAAATCCCATTAGTTAATTTGTCCACATAGCTCAGACATAGGACAGACATATATGAGCTTTTAAAAGCCAGAGCGCCCTGGGACAAAAAAAAAAAAACACTGACTAATGTGCCTGCAGAGGGAGTTCCCAGATGAAGCACAGGAATTATTTGTTAAGCTGCAGGAACATTCTGCCTTTTAAAGATTTTCTGTTTTTGTGCTCTTCTGATAATCCATCAGTGCATCAGAAACAAAATCCAAGTTGCAAAAGTTAAGTATTAATGAAACAAATCTCCCTCTATAACCTCTAGTTAAAACACCACATGTTTATAATTTTTAATTGCAAGAAAAGTATTATTACTTTTTTTTTTTTTTTTTAAAGCTACCATTATTCATCCCCCTGCAACAACAACATATTGGAAGTTAAAGTTAGGATTATGTTATTTACAGCTTATTTTCATCAGTAAAATTTGGTTGATATAATCAGATTTACCATTAATATGAACTAAATTAAGTCTTGACTAAGGCTGCAACTAACATTATTTTGCAAATCAATTAATCTGTTGATGATTTTTTAATTAGCCAAAGGTTAAAACAGGCCAAACTAAAACTTTTCCACTTGAGGAGTTCTGGATAGAGCAGATTTTTTATCCTAAAGGTAAAAAAAAAATAAAAAATTAGTTAATGGATGGAAAAGCTTTCATTACTTAAATAAATCTATAGGAGAGGAGAAACACAAAATGCTGAAAAACTTGTAACATTGTGCCGTTTAGCATGTTAACTCTTTTTGAAGTTCATATTTATTGTAAATATGTTTATGTCCATCATATCAAAGTAATCAAAATAAACAGTCAATAACATTATCTTAACTTCTTTATCAAAGATGTTGCTCTTTCAGAGGGATGTATATAATGGTTGCTTTTGCACCTTGATCAAGATCAATTCTATTATTGTCACAATTTCTACTTGAAAAAACATGGTGTTTTTATGGGAAGTTGTAGTAGAAGATTTTTTTTATTGATACTTAACTTTTTTTTTTAGATTTTTCAATTATTAGCACATTAAAAGCAAACATGTGTTAGAACATCTTAGGTTAGTGTTCAAATTGTGCTAGATTTAAGTAATTTATTTTGCATGCATTTCCACATTTATATAACTAACATCTGTGATTCTGCTGAGAAAGATTGTTCCATGTAGGGATTGATAAATCTGACTTTTCTACATCAAAAGATGATTCCAAGGTATGGCTGCTGAATGCCTGAAGTGATGCACAAATCGACCAATGCATTACAAGAATAAAGCACTAATATCTGCTGATACGTCAGTCTACCTCTAATATTTGTATAACTATATCTATATCTATATATTTATATAGATATAGTTATCTCTCTCTATATATATATACACACACACACACACACACACACACACACACACACACACACACATAGAGAGAGAGAGATATATATGTATGTCTTTCCCTCTCAAGAGAAAGAAAGAAAAACCTCAGTAGTTTTAAGAAGCTTCAGTTAAAAAAATGAGGGAAGTATCCACATTGATCTGAAACAGCATCTGTAACATGCTTTGTTAAATGGTTTGCTCTTTAATCAAGGAGCCACCAGGGACAACCTTTAACCTTATAGCTATTTATAATGAGACCTCTGATTGATTCAAGTTAATGAAAACTAGTAGAAATCCACAGAAGCGAATCTTATCCTGAAGCTGATTAAAACTGGGGATTGAATATGAGTAAAAGTCAATGAATTTAACCAAACAGCATCTACTTTAATAAAAACAGAAAGGACACATTAAAATGAGCATCATTAATATTCATTTGTGAAGATTACCATAAGCTAAACAATCAGTTCCTTTGAGAATTGCTGGGCATTATGCAATACACCAGAATAAATATAAAAAGCTTTAAACTGCTATATACAGATGCATTACAGCCAATGAGCTTGAATATTTCACTTTGTAAACGTGAGTCAGTACAACATAAAACAATGCAAATCAACCTACGGTATATAACGAAAAATTTTGGCTGTCTTGTGAAAATATCATCATGGTTTTATGATACCGATCCAGGAAATAGCTTCTATGAAAACACAAGAATGAGCATTCAAACTGACAGTTTATGTGTTTAACAATCTGCTATTGCTTATCATCAGTAATGCAATTTTACTGCATCATTCATACTTGAGTAAGAATAAAACAGAATATAATTGTTATTTTAAACCCAAAGAAAAATACAAAGAATTTGTATTAGAGCTAAACGATTTTGGCAAAAATCTAAATTCCAATTTTATTTCAACAAAAATTAAGATTCGATTTGTTTTTACTTCAGGTTTTCAATGCTTTCATGACCTTTCTTGACGAGGGTTGGTCATCACAGGATTTTACTGTTACTGATGTGTGGAATTGGTCTTCTGGTCTTACGCATAAATCTAACTAGCTCTTCCCTTCTGTGTGTTGGCAAACCCCCTTTAAGCATATTATCCCCACATTAAGGCCTGGAGCGACAAAGTCAATGTTAAATTTAATGTAACCAAAATGTAGTTCTTCTGCTATTTGAAAATGTCCTTGTTTGTAAAATAGTCATTATAATAAATTGTAATAAACTGCTCAGCCCTGATTTGCATCATTTCCAGATTAACTCTTGACTCTCAGTTTCAGCCAATTTGTTTCCAGTTTTACCCTAAAGTGGCCTTTGTGATCCAAACTCAAACAAATTATTTTTTGCCTACAAACAAAACATTCTGTATCAGTGTTTTTTTTCTAAGAAATGAAAAATAATCATAAAAACTGGTAATAAATAGGATAAATAAACAGGAAATAATCATAAAAACCCTCATAATGCCTCCTAAAGAATTTAAGGATTACCTTTGTACCAATGATTGAGGGTCTGATCACCATTTGGGTCTGGTCACTGAAAGATTAGGATTTCTGATGAGTATAGCTCTAAGTCACCATCTGTTGTTCATATCAGTTATCCAAATTTCCTCACGGTGAACTATGAGTAGATTCAAGGAAACTGGGCTGAAATCAATGTTGAAAATGTATGAAGAGCTCTACGCATCTCTTTCTGGACAGCTCTTTTTTACCTCAAATGGAACAAGAGCAAAGCACAGGAACCTGATTCATTATGACCCAAATCGTACTCAGCGCAGAGCAAAATCAGCTTATAGAGTACTCAATAATAAAGAAATTACTAACATTATAAGTTCTTTGAAAGAAAAAGAGACTATCATCAAGTCAATTGGTAGAACCTAAATGAGTAGATGTTTTGCCTCAGTTTTTTACAACCTTATTTTAGAGAGAGAGAAACTACTTTAATTACAGTTCCAAAGTTAATTTCACAACTTCTAATGTAATAACACGGAAATAAGGATCTAATTATAACAATTTGTCAATTTTCCCACACTGACAATCATTAAATCAATTTAGTAAAACAAATCCCCTAAGCTCAATGATCAGCTTTTCAATCTGTATGGTATGTAGGTAAGGGAGAGACCATAATGGTAAGATCTCATACAACAACTGTTTTTAATACAAAATGAATATTCAGAAAATCAGAGCGCTATTTCTTAATTTGGCTGCAGTCATTTGCAATTCTTTCATGCTGCAGTATGAAAGCCTTTCTTCATCATTTCTGTTGCCAAAAATAAGGATTGTAAACCAAGTATAAAGAATGTGCATTCTCCTAAATAAATGCCCTGCAGACTAAAATCAGCAGATCATTGTATTCATTTTGAAATGCACCAATGGTTACCAGGAGACATGTGCTTTAGTATTACTAACCTAATGCCCTGCTGCTGCTCAAACTCTAAGGGAAAAATCTGTTTGGGTGTTTTAGGAAATCCACAGAAATAAAAGGGGAAGAAATCCACTAATGCTCATCCAGGCATGGCTTTCCTGGGCTTAAAATAATGTCTCCATCAACCAGCAGCTCACCGTCTTCCATTCCAATCAGTGGCCCTCCTCTTTTTTCCAAACAGTGAGCATCATGCTTTTTGGAAATTAAAAATGATCCACAGCAGCTCAAAGGACTGAATCTGAGAGAGAATTGCAGACAGTTGCGTCCTGTTCAGCCCTTCTAAAACTCTTACCCAGTCTGTGTTTCTGCTTGCTTTGGCAGAATAAATCTTCTGTAGGACTGAAGAGTTTCAATGAAACACAAAACGACTGAACTACAAACTCTGAGCTGCTGTTCTCAGATTAAATCAAATCTCCAGACTGAGTTTTAGGATCACCAGGTGAGTGCAACAGACAATGACAGGTGGTGCGGCTTCAGCCCCCTCCCCTCCTCCCTCTGCATTAAAGGCACACTGCTCAGCGTGTATATCTCACCACACGCACTCGATGACCCCAAATTCACAGCTGCTCTCACCCATCCCTGCTCCGCTGGTCCAACCCAATGCATGCAGAGACAGCCTGCTCCTTTGCATGTTAGCTTAAGAATAATAAAAAGGCATGTATAGGAGGACTTCTTCTTAATATGCATATCCAAGGTCAAAGCAGACCTGCTGGTAATTCACCTAAACTCAAGCTCTGAACATGAAAAACTGGTAAAGATAAATCTTCATGTCCTTTTTTTTTTAACGTTCAAACCGGATGACATGCGCTTTTAAGCCTCTGTTTATTTAGTAATAGATAATAAATCACCAGATTTGCTTCAATAGCAAATAGAATTCAGGCTGCATGGAAGATTTTCATTAACATCAAGCAGCCTTTTCTTGGTTTTTAAGGAAATAAGGCAGAAAAGGAAATCTAGATAGCCTGAAATGTTTGCAGTTAATGAATGTTAGAGTATTTTTTAATATATCATTTAACTACTTTTGCTGTAAATTACAAAGAGGAATGGGGGTTGAATATATCAGCTTCCTAAAAGCTGTAATAGGATGTGTGGTTAAGAAAAGCTTAACTTTGAATCCAGCCTTAGCTTGATTGGAGACATCAGTAATGCTAGTAGCATTAGCACTAGCAAGCTAAACTTTGTAAGGGTGGGCAGTAATACCAGTGAATGTCACATCCTAGCTGTCAGATAACAGGTTCATATTTCACCTAATGGAATCGATTTATGGTTTCGGTTGCATGTAATGCCATATATTTTATTAACTAAAACCTTCTACCACAATACATTGCAATGCTAACAGCTGTTTGATGCAAGCTGGGGTTACCAGGGTAACGATTTAAATGCCACTTATGTTAAATTGGAGTTCAAATTTTTAACATTATTTCAGTAAATTTTTACGGCTTTGTGACAGTAAAAACATGCTATAGCTTAGCCAAATTCAACAGTTGTTGGGGAACAGATTTTTTATTGGTAATTTATAAGTTTAGCGACAGTGCTAACTGCTAACACTAATCTCAAAGTCACTGCTTATTGTTGGTGGATCTGGTTCTGGTTGTCATCCAGAGGTTTAAATGCCACTAAATGATAGAATAGATTTAAATGCTAGAATAGATTTAAAAGGTGTTCAAACTTTTAAATAATTGTTTCTTCCCTTTACAAGCATAATTGCAGTGCAAACGTGAACCTTAAACATGCTAGCGTGCTAGCATGATTGTACCCCCTAGAAAGGCCATGTCCAGTAGGGCTATAAGAAGCACTTCTTGACTTTTGTCGGAGAAAAAATGCTTTCACCTTGTTAAAAATAGATTTAAAGTAAATTGAGATTTCTGTCACATATTATACTTTGACAAGTTCAGTGAAAGTGTTAACTGGGAAAGCTAAGCTGCTAACCAGCTGAGCTTCTTCACCTTGAGGCAGTAGTTTCAAACGACCTTGGCTTTTGTTATCAGGGGAAAGCTTTACATGCCAGTAAAAAAAGATAGAAGGGGTTGCAGAGTTGAGTTTTAGAGTGTGTGCTGTTTATTGTCATACCACGACATACCAATCTGATGTAAACCACTCCATATTATCCAAAGTCAGCAGTTTTTTTTTTTTTTACCTTGAAACTCTCCCATAGACACAGTTTGTACTAAATCTCCCCTTAAATAGGGTTTGCAGGGCTTTAGATGATTTCCCTCTGCCTCGTGTGAACTCCTATTTGTGCCATACTCTGAGTAATTTCAGTAGGTCACGCAGCCCTGAGTTTACCTGGTCCATGTCTTCTCTGTACATGGATTATGCTGACGATGTGGTTTAATCCACTTTTTCTATTTATTTGAGTGAATGTTTCATTCTGTAGATGTGGCAGTCATCAAGGTGTGGGTGTGGCCAGTGACATTAAACTCAATTCTTTCACAAAAAAAGAGATTAATTCCAGTACATTTGGACCTTAAAAATAGTTACGATTAACCTGTCCATAAAGAACATTGATATTTTTTTGGCCTAGATCAGGGGTCTTCAACATTTTCCAGGCCAAGGAACCCCAAACTGAAGGCGAGATGGACCCCCTAATTATACATATTGTATGAGATTGTGTTATATCAAACTGGTCCTATAGTCACTCTATAACAGATGGAGTAATGTAATGAAAGTAATTCCTCCCTGGGATTATTAAAGTATTACTGATTCTGATTCCTGGTTGATGGGACAGGTGTTGTGAATGAAACGGTGCCCAGATTGAAAGAGCTCCTGTGTGTCGCTGAACGTGTGCATTGATGACTGAAAGATATCTTCTGCCTTCAACAGTCTGTTGAATTCATTCTAATGTGTATTTAAATACATTTCCATTAGTTGAAAAAAATTGCAGGGGGGATTATTTAAAAAAAGGCTAATAAACCAAAACCTTCTAGACCCCCATGCAGTACCTTTGTGGACCCCTGGGGGTCAGGGACCCCCTGTTGAAGAGCTCTGGCCTAGTGGGTTAGAGCAGGTGCAAGTACCCGGTTCAAATCCACTGCCTCCACTCTGGGTTCCTGAGCAAGACCCTTAACCCCTGATTGCTCCCTGGCACCTCACCTCACGATGGCTGCCCACTGCTCCCCCAAGGGGATGGGTTAAATGCAGAGGTAAATGTCTCCAATATGAGATTAATAAAGTTCAATTATTATTAATTTATTCTGAAATTATTGTCTGAAATTAATCAAAAAATCTGCAAATGGCAGAGACTTTTACCCATTTATAACTGAGCGGATTCAACAACAGCTTGTTTAAAGAGGCCTGGAACAGATCCAAATGAAGAAGAGATTTATTAGATCAACAATGTAAGGGCCATTAAGGTCAGCTGCAAAGAAAAAATGGCTTAAATTCTAACATCAGAGTAAGGTGTGAGCGCTGGCACACAGAAGTCTATTCTTTAGGCTTTTCCTCTGGAGAGACAGTCACGCCCGTAGAAAATGATCGGGGTAAAAACGATGCTGAGTCGTCAAATCCTACGTTTATTTCACAACTGATCAACGAAGGCGAACATTAAAGGTCCATTTGCTGCGACATTAAACGGAGCAATAATTGCCCAAAGGATTATTGCTGCGAGGAGAAAAAACACCAAAAGATGTCCAGACACCTGCACCTCCCAAGACGCGCCAACACATCCTCACCTGGCTGCGCGCGCGCGCGCACACGCGCACCCCCATACACTTCACAACGTCACTCGTCTTTTTTCTTTTTTTTCCACAATCGCAGAAATACCGCCCATTCTCCAGCACACACATTCAACCTTGCTGTATTTACAGCCCCACTCCTTCTGCCATAAGCGCAAGCATGCGGTTTTTTCTCTCTCCTCCATCCTGCCGTCTAAAGGGTCCCCAAATACCATCGCTGCCACTGCTTTGGTTTGATTTAGAGAAAGAAAAAAAAAAGACAAGGAAGAGAGCAAACAGTGCGTGTTCATGCATATCCAGTCAGCTGATGATGGCTGGTGGCTTGTTTTATGGTGAAATATTAATAAAGGCTTGTCACGACTGAACCCAAACAGCGCTGCGCAGGGATCATGCTGGCACATCTTCTCTCTGTTATGGAGAAAAAGGCCCCGTATTTTTATTTCATTTTTTTACCCGACAGGATCTGCGAGTCCTCAAGGTTGAATAATCTGGCTTGTGAGCACACATCGGGCTCGCTGTCAGATCTAGACTCTTACGATTTACGCGTAAAAATACCAATTAGGCCCGACGTTTCTGTGCCATCCAGACACAAATTCCCGTCTGCTAATAAACACACACGCACGGACGGCGCATTTGGACGCTGACAGCTGGCTATATGGGTTAGGTGATGCAAGCGGCTCTTTATGGAGCAAAACATGTAGCAGAATCAAGGTGTGATACATACCTGGGAGACTACAGGATAGGGTTGGCGCAGAGGCTCTATCCAGTTGTACAAAAAAAAAATTGGAAGAAAAAAAATCAGACAACAACAAAACCACGCCGGCTGTTGATGACACAGCTGTCTTTGGCAGACAGAGGAGGTCGGCGGAGAAAATCCGATCGCAGATGTGTCAATAGACGCTTGAAATTCAGACGCACATCAGTGGACTGACGCCTGACGTGAAAGCTCTCCCATTTTCACGATAAACGGCGCGCTCTGTGTGCTGCGGTCTGCGCGCAGACCATCATGCTGGCTTCAACACCAAGGTACACAAACAGATCCTCGGTGAGGCTCCCCCCAAGGAAGAGCCATGCTTCCAGTTCAGATCAGAAGCGAGCAGGGAGGAGGAGGAGAGCGGTGAATAAAAACGTCAAAACAGAAATGCGCAGACATCAGCGCGCTGCGTTGGCTGGGCATCCTCGCAATGAATTTGCATCCATATTAATATTCATAGAGCGGAGTGCTTCCTGTGAGCAGACGACTGCTGGTGTTTGTGGAAGGAGGAAAAAAAACAACAATGCAGAAGGGGGGGCGCTCTGAGTCCAGCTGCGGGGAGATGCTGCATGCTTTAGTCACTACTAATAATAGCTGCAGATAATGCAAAAAAATAAATAAATAAAGGCAGAAATATTACAAACAGTTGATGTTTCTAGACCGACCCAATGATGTCACGTGGGATGAAATTACATATAATTTAAAGGCTTGCCATAATAAGTAAACATGTGATTCCTAGTGTGATGAAACATACTACTTTTTATATTGTCATTAAAGCAAGATTTCGATAAAAATGTAGAGTATAACAGTAGGAGTTTTGCATTTCACCTGCAAAAAATCAAAACAAAAGTAGTTTTTGCCTGAAATGAGTGATTTCCTTGTGAAGAAGTTAAAAAACAATCCACTGAAGGTTTGAAGACGTTTTGCTCATGGGCATAAGTTTGCATAAGGACCATAGGGACATGTCGCTACCAAAATTTTGGACTGACCTACTTGTCTCTACCAACAATTAGATGTGAATAACATGTTTATAATTTACAATATAGCTTTGTTGCAGCAGTAGAGGAGTTCTGGATGGAGAATATTGACAGACGAAAACATTTTTGATCTAAAATGCAAAATGTTTATATATTTTTTTACAATTTTGCTATAATTCCCACTGTAAGTGGGTCGCTCTGTGAGCTGAAGACATGTTTTAGAGTCTCTATACTCCAGTTACTGATTAATCAATTACTAAATTTGTTGACGTTTCAATAATCGATTATTTCGATGAATTGTTTCAGCACAAGATAAAATACATGATATGGGTTAAATAGAGTAACTACAGCCTACATGACTTGTAGGGTAAAACTAATATTCTAAATGCTCAGTGTCAGTTCCAGTGCTCATTTAAATACAATAAATTAATTTGGACTCCCTTGAATCTATTATTTTGCATTGATTTATGACACAGAGAGAATATTTAAAAGATAAGAGTGGGTTTTACCTCTATTTACCTCTGCACAATTGTATATCTTCAAAAGAAAAAACAGGATAAATCAAAATATAACAGACATATTTAGACTATAGTTTGTTAAATAGGCACAGATTTACTTTCTGTCTTATTAGCTAGTCATTTCAAATGCAAACCTTTTCAAAGTGGAAAAAAAGTCCAATTCCATATTCGTCAGAGCCGGTGATGCATAAAAGATTGATAAACAGCATCTAGTGTGTGTAGCGCCTATCAAATTTGTACAAATGTTATAACACCATGAAATGGTGGTTTTCTCTTTAAACAAAATACACCATGATCTTCACATCAAGCATAAAAAAACGACTGCATATTTTTGCATAGGACCAATGACATCAGACCAATAGTGTCCCTACCAAAGCTGAAATCAAACCTGCGCCCTTGGTTTCACTTCCCATCCAGGAAGCTTTCTCAATTCAAAATGTCGAGGAAGCTTTCTCATTTTGATGGAAAAAGCTTCCTGGATGGGAAGCGAAACGTCTTCAAACCTTGGAAACAAATTCCAGTGGATTGTTTTTTTACTTTTTCAGAATGACTATGACCTGGATGACTTAGAATCTTCACCAGCACAGTGATTTCCTTGATTTGAGTTTTGTATACACAGAGTGTATACAAAACTAAACTTCGTTTATACAGCTTTCCGACTGAATTGGCAGCAGCTTTAGAAAAACAACTCCACTATCTTATTTGAAGTGTATTTTATCTAATTATCTTATTCTAAGGGCAGAAATACAAATTCTTTCGGCAGGTCATGTTATTACCGGATTAAATGAACACTTGATTTTAAGAAATATTTTCTTCTTTTCAGGTCAGTTTTTGCAGTGCAGGTTTGATAACACCCGAATGTTTCACACTTAATTTAATGTTGGATTAGATTACTGTCAATGAAAACATGTTAGGTGTGATTTAGGTGAATAAATGTAAGATTTGTGTTTGTTTGTTGCTGTCAACTCATGCAAAGGCCTAAATATGACATCAGATTTTCGTCTGTGAGTACAGAAGCTTGAAGCCATAAAGAAAGTTATAACCTAGCAATAATACAAGTAAAAATAAAAAATTTAGGAATATGAATCACAACTTTAAGAGTACAAATCTACAACTCCTGATGAAGCTGTAATATGAGGTTAAGATAGCTGTCAATAAGAGTGATAAGCAGCCGTTAAAATGTGTAAATTCGCAATACGTAATAAAATTTAAGATTTATCGAGAATCTCAGTCATCCAGGTGATGGTGAAGTTTGACAAGTTCAGTTTAGGCAACTGGACATGAAGTTTTCTAGAAGACGTTTTGCCTCTCATCCAAGAGTCTTTTTCAGTTCTAACTTATTGTGGGGAGCATTCCTTCACGTCTTCTAGAAAACTTCCTGTCCACTTGCCTAAACTGAACTTTTCAAACTTTATATTTAAGATTTGTTTTTGTATCTTGTGTCAACAGATAAATACGTGTGACGTTAGATGTTTTTTTCTGTGTGAATGTAAATTTAGAAGTTACACATACAAGGTAGAGTTACATCTATGGAAAAAAATCAGGTACAAATCACAAAGTTGTGAGTTTGAATCAACAGCCCCTAATGAAGCTATTGTACTCCTTACAAGTATGTGGCAGCAATAGACCTGAAGGATGCTAAGCAGCCACCTTTAAACAAAGAAGAAAAAGGCAAAAACAGAACTATTAATCAAATCCTATAGTGGGAATTAGTGTGTCGTATGTATGCTGTATGTATTAGTATGTCGACGTTTTTATTATGGGCTGTGTCTGAACGTGCCCCCTAACCCCTAAATCACTCAATCACTACAGAGCGGGGACTATATAGTGCCCTATATAGGGATTAGGGCGGACGCAGCCTTCGCTTTCCTGTTCTTCTCTTTAATTGGTGGTTGCTGAGAACTTGAGGTGGTTAACTGTGCCGAGCTTGGTTCTTACAACCATTTACACATCCTGCTAGCACGGTCCCTCGCCTTTTATTGGTGGGCCACGATACTACGGCTCTCAAGGCGGAAATTACGCAAACAAAAATGGCGGTGCCAATACCATTTAGCAACTTATGTGCTTGAAAAGTTTAGTATCGTGACAACCCTAATTGGCACAAGATAAATAAACTGAATTGAATGCTGTAACTCCAGTGATCACATCAACTCCCTACAAGACACACTGATTACAACTAAACAAAATGCAAAATTATCCAAGAGTTATGAATACTTTTTCTACATGCAGTTTATTTGTGAGGTAAAGGACTATTAATATAGGTACTCATTTATATTTCAGTAACAATATTAAAAAATTCAAATGAATCCATACAGGAAAAGTGAGAACAGAAAACATTGGCATAATTCTGCAAGAGACTGAAATTGTGAAATCATTCATATTCCTACATCATGTGCGTGTCTGTACTTGAAGAATCAATCTTTATCCAAACACAGTTCACTCCTGTAATTCCTGTTTTATGAAACTCTTGGAAGATCAAGCTGAAATTTTGCATGTGAAGTTGTTTTAAATCTCTATAGATTTAGTACTAAATCACAGCTCTGAACTAATTGTGTTTTTTTATTTACTGGTGTTAAAACTGAGTCAAGTCTGAGTTTTTGCATTTGAAAGGACGCACACAATGGGAGACTTTTGATCAAATGAAAGTAACTTATAGTGATGGTGTCCCATAATATAACCTTGTAAAACATTTTGCAAGGTCATATAACAGGCATCATCACCATAAGTTACTTTAATTTCATCAAAAGTCTCCCGTGGTGTGCGTCCTTTCCAATAGAAAACTGGATCTCTGTTCGACACTCAACAGGCTCCAATTCAGACTTTACTCAGTTCAAACACCTGTAAGTCAGAAACAACAAATAGTTCAGAGCTGTAATTGCTACTTAATCTATAGAGATTTAAATAACATCAGATGCAAAATTTCAGCTCGATCAAACATCTGGAAGTGGGTCAAGGGCATTACTTACTGAACTTCCCTCTTATGATAGGAAAACCATGTAAAACCAAACAACCACCTTATCAGTTATTATTATTTTCTGGTAAGAAAGAAACCTTGAATCACGCTCTGTTTTGTAATAAATTATCCAAGACTATTGTTACAGAGAGAGTAGGGTTACGAGAGGTCTAGTTTTTGAATTTAACTAATGACATTGTCTATCAACAGATGGGATTCATTCAGACTGACATGTTGTCATGTAATCTTTTTGATCCCTAGAGTGACCAAGCAGAGCAAAGTAGCCCTAATCTAATCTAACATCATCCCATGCCCCCTGATGATGCTCCAAGGATCCAAAATGCAAAGTACCCAACTATAAATCTTTGCTATGTTTATCTCAGACTCAGTGTGAATGTCAAAGTATCGGGGTGGGAGTGGATTTGTTATCAGCAGCCTCACAGTGAAATCTGGTCAAAGTGCACTGGAGTGAACTATGTGGAAGCGGACTACGCTCATCCATTTAAATTACGCCGCCTGGAATCAACTCCAATAAGGTAAAGAACAGTTTTTTTATGCTATAAGCAGAAAGCTCATAAAAGCTTCTTTAGGCTGCCATGCTGGGCCCTTAGAAAGGCTGCTGTGTGGCCCTACAGGCCGACTCATAAAAGCTTTATTTGTGAGCAAATTAATAATCTCATGTGTGAGCTCATTCATGGGGGAGTCTTTTGATCAGGCTGCTAAATGTCGCTGCTGTTTTAGAGTTTCTTTCATCTATTGAAGAGGGTTAGGGGTACAAGCAGTGGAGCAGGTAAAAATGTGTTTTTGATCATAAAAGAGAGGTTATCGATTCTCTTATCTTGAATTTGTTTTTACAAGCGTAAAATATATTGTGGCAAGACAAATAAGTTGTATTGAATTTATGCCAACTTTAAAAATGTTATTGATTGCTGAAAATTAACACTTTGACCCACACTAGGTTGGAAGAATGACTAAAGAAAAAACCCAGATGAAGGAGTTCATAGAAGCTCTTAGCGTTCTGCAGTTGGTCCTGAGTTTTCTCTTCTTAGGTGAGACTCTAATCTTTTCTAATTTACCGTTACATCGAACAACAACCATGCACTAATGTTTCCTCATGACAACACTACCTGTACCCCCTACATACGGATCTAACACATCTGGGTTATCACCCACCTGCAGGACTGGCCTGCATTATCTTGATGGTGAGTCTCATGTTTACGTCTCTGTGGCTGCTGCCCACTCTTTGCTTCGTGTGGCTGGTGGCTGACTGGCAAACTCCAGAAAGAGGTAAAAAAAAAAAATAATAATAAAATGTGTCTGTAACTTTGCATAATCCTATTTTTATCCAAAAAGTAAAAAAAGCTACTTTTTAATCTTCCTAAACTATATTTATGGTAGGATGTTTCTGCAAATGGAGGCCATCGTCCTCCATATGACCTTGCCTGTCTAATCACTGTCAATCAAGGCAGAAAAGTCTATAGCCCCATTTACTGTTTTACATCCAGATAAAATTCAGTACAAACACTTTCCTTTTCCTCTACTTCACATACAGAATCCTCTTTAGTGTAGTTTGACCATATATAACCCCAGAGCTGTGTTCAGGGAAGATCTGTAGACAAACAGGATAAAGTTTTAGAGGAATTGAGAGCAGGGCTGGGTTATTACGTTTGCAAACCTTGGACCATCTGAGAACAATGTTCAGTTCACTAAAGTGTAAAATTAAACGTTTAAAGTAAAGGCTCTCCACCCAAAAAGTATTAATTAGGGATCAAACTTTGCATGTTTTCTAAGCCAAAACAAGGCTTTGTTTTTGTTCCACTTTTTAAAGTCTTGAACTCAACGCTATTTCTGACATTTTGAAGTGAGAAAGCTTCCTGGATGGGAAGCGTAACGTCTTCAAACTTGAAAAACAAAGTCCAGTGGATTGTTGTTTTAGACTTTTTTGGAACAAAGCAACATGTAATAATAATTGAATTTTATTGATCTCACATTGGAGAAATTTACTTCTGCATTTAACCTATCCCCTTGGGGAGCAGTGGGCTGCCATCGTGCGCGCCCCAGGAGCAGCGTGGGGTTCAGGGTCTTGCTCAGAGAGCCAGAATGGCAGTCTGTGGGAGTGCACCTCGAACCCAGAACCTAGAGATTCCAAGCTCTATGCCCTAACCACTAGGCCACCACTCCCCCATATTTTAAAGTTAAAAACTAGACAGTCCATAGAAATTATTGAAATAGATGCACAATGGATAAACAAATCTAATATACATCTAAAGAACAGGGGGAAAAAAGTGTAATATCTCATCACATGTTATCTTCCAAATCTACTGAGAATGTGAATAAATTTATCTCTGGAATAAGTTTCATTTCCTGTAATAGACTACAGTATGTGGAGATGAGACTATCAAGTTATTTCTTTACATAGATTTCGTTTTAAGGGGTTCCAATTCAAGATCATGAAGCAGAAAACATCTAGAAGAAGGTGCTCTGGGCAGATGAGACCAATTATAAACTTTTTGACTTACATTAGAAAAACCTTAATTCTGGTGGAGAACCTGCAGTCCCTGAACACATCATCCTCACAGTCAAACATGGTGACAGCAGCATCAGGCTCCTCCTTAGAGAGGACAGGAAAGATAGTAATAGTTATTATAAGCAGGGCAACCCTAAAGAAACAAAAAATAAAAATAAAAAATAAAGGAAAAAGTCTTGATGGCCCTTAAAGTTCACCCAAACATATTATTACCCATTATTTTAGCTTTTCTTCTAGCTGCTGTGCTTCTTATCCGGTGTGATGCTGCACTGGTTTGTATTTAGGGGTGTCACAGTTTTTTACAGGTCTAAATTTCAGCATAATTAAAATAAATTAAAAAATGAATCCCAAAGGAGAATTAATAATAAAACACAATTCACACTTTTGACTTAAGAAAAATGGCTCAAAGAACACGTATTGTTTTCCTTCAAATACTCTATTAAGAAGCTTGTTGTGAAGCTCTGGATAGTTTCATGAGGCGGTTTGGTTTCTGTTTACTATTTGCAATAAATACGGCGTCTTCAGCAAAAACAGGCAAACAGGAGCAAAAACAGAAATGAACATTTTAGTCCAGATAAACCAATAAATTAGCTGCCATTAAAGAAAAGTCAAAAACATTTTACTTGCTTCTTTATTTCTGTTTTCTTTTTGCACATCAAATCGTGTTCATAGTTTAAGTTTGTACTTAATTAAATAGTTAGTTTAATTTATTTTATTTTCGCCAATGTAATTCTTTACAATGTTAGACTGATGGATATCTAATTAGTCCATTTTATTTCATAAACTCACTCGCTCTGCCACTCTTCCATGTGTCCACCAGGGGGCAGAAGAACAACATTTGTGAGGAATTGGAAGGTCTGGCAGCAGTTCAGAGATTTTTTTCCAGTAAAAGTAAGTTTCTTTCACTGATCCCAGCTTCATTTCTATCATAATTAGGGCTGAAATGATTCATTACATTATTCCACTATTGAAATAGTCATCAACTAATCTGGTAATCGGATACAATTTTTACCTAAACCAAAAATACACAGATTAAATCATGCCATTAGCTCTACTAATAAACTACAGACATAAAATAAAAATACAATCTCTTTTCCAAGCGAGAGCTGTCAAGAGCAGCAAAAAATTTTTTCCAAAAAAACAATAATGACATGAAGTATTGTTATAAAAAATTATAAAAAGTAAAATAAAATCTAATTTCACTCACATAATCGA